CTGAGCCACTCGGGTGCCCCTCCCCCCACCTCTTAGAAAAGTCTTCTTTTTAAGTCCTCTCTACTCCCAGCGCGGGGCTCGAACTCACAGCCCTGAGATCAGCGTCTCATGCTCCACTGGCTGAGCCGGCTGGGCGTTGTTTGGGGTTCTTACCGGTGTCCTCGGTGCCCCTCGTGGTCCGGTGAGCCCCTCCTTGCCCGGGAGGGTAGACGTGACCTTCCAGAAGCTGCCGGCCGGGACTGTTCTGTCCCCTGCCCAACCCTCCTCCGGGGACGCTGGCGTCAGGGCCCTCAGTCAGTGGGGCTGCTCTCCTTGTGGCTGGGCCTTGGGGCTGAGGACGGCACAGGGGCCTGCTGACCCATAGGAGCGGCGTCCTGCCGTGGAGTTTTCCAGTGAAGGGCGGGACGAGTAGCCACCAGGTGACAATATCCAGTGTCAGCCCAGAGGTACCTACCTCGAGCCCCTTGGCTCAGTCTTCCTGACTCCTGCCTTGGGGCAGCTGCACACCTGGGTTCTGGCTCGGTGGCGCGTCCTTCAGTGCCTAACTTGTACGGATGGGGCCCCCTCGTGGTTCTTCTCGGCTGGGAGGGGCGAACCACCTTGCCGTGCCCCAAGGCTGTGCTGGCTGCCAGGAGAGGGGCTTCTGGGCACAGGCTGGGCCCCTGCGGGCACCTGGCCCTCCGCCGTGTTCCAAGAACATAGCCAGCTGTCCTGCCGTCTGCTGTCTTGCCGTCTACGGGCCGGAGGGGCCGTGGCAGAGGGCCACCTGACACCTGCCCCTGCCCGGGCCTGGGTGCGGGGCTGGCATCTCAGACTTGTGGTCCTTTCACCCAGCCCTAGGCCAGAATGAAAAATGCAAGAGTGGGGACAGCAGGAAGGAGGGGGGACTGCAGGAAGGACGGGGGACAGCAGGAAGGAGCGGGGAGCACAAGCCAGGCCCTGGCCTGGAGCTGGTGACAGGTGAGGGCAGGAGATGAGGCAGGTGCACGGGAGGGAGTCAGAGAGGCCTCAGCGACGGAAGGGCATGGGTGGGGGACACAGCAGGAGGCCTGGGCCCCCCTCTCAAGCTGTCATGGGCTTTTGCATGGCTGGGGAGGGGAGGAGCCCAGCCAGTGCCCCAAACCATGGGAGAACGGGGCTGGACATCCATGGGGTTTGGGTGGGGTCCCAGCCTCCCAGGGACCTCAGCCCCACTTACCTTGTGTTTGATGTTCTCTGTCTGAGTCTAACGGGCTTTGTTTTTTTCCTGCACTTGGAGGCTGTAATTTTCCTGCCAAAATGTTTTAAAAGCTGCATGCACAGAAACATTTTCAAAATTATAGGTAGTTTTATTAACTGCGTGTGCGTTTTGTTAGTGTATGTGTCTGAGTGTTTAGCGACTGGTTTGTGCAAACATGCTTGAACACAGAGGGCCTTGGGGCTTGTGGCCATGGCAGGTCACAGGGCAGCACATCTGTGACACAAGTCTGTGTCTGCCACTGATGGTGAGGGGCGCCTGCGGCAGCATGGCATGTGATGTGGTGTGTGACACTGATGGTGGGGGCACCCGTGGCAGTGGGGCGTGTGACGTGGTGGCAGTGAGGGGCACCCGTGGCAGCGTGGCGTGTGACACTGACGGTGAGAGGCGCCCGTGGCAGCAGGGCATGTGACGTGGTGGCAGTGAGGGGTGTGTGTGTCACAGTGTGGGTCTCTCCTGCCATCTCAGGGTGGAGGTGGGACGTGTAGACTTAATTATGGAAATCCATTTCTCCCTCTGCTGGGGGTGAGGAGTTCCCTCCTGGGTTCCACGGAGACCTGGGCCAGTCCCCACCCCCACAGCTGCTCTGCTCCCCGTGTCCTCCCCTTGTCCTCCTATGTGTCCCCATGGGGCGAGGGAGCTCAGACGGGCTCATTTTCCTGCTGACTGGAGCCGTCTGCCGACGTCCTTGAAGGCGGGCACTTGGGGTTGTAAAGAAGGGGTAATTCCTCTGCTCAGGGACCTGCCGCAGGAGGCGGTCCTCCCCCGCCCCCCACTGAGGCCCCACTCCTGGGGGCTCAGTCCAGAGACATGACGTGCTCAGAGTGGGGGCTGCATGGTTCAGTGGGGGACAAACTGGCGTGAGGCCTGGGCATGGTGGCCGGTTACTGTGTCCTGCTTCATGGGGAGGTGGCCCACATTCGTACCCACCCTGACCCTGTTCCCTCCCTGCTCCCCAGCCACAGTGTCCCTTCTGTGCACAGCACCCGACTGGGCAACCCCAGCTTCAGCCTTGCCTTGGGGCTTTGGAGATCCTGGAGGCAGTGGGTATGCTGTAGGGACATGGTGCTGGGTGTCCCTGCAGGCATGGGGGAGGGGCATAGCTCCAGAAAACCCCTCGGTTCCATTTCTCATCTGTAGGTCGGGTGGGAGGATCAAATGAGCCGGAGCCTGTCCCAGCCTCCTGTGCACCATGGTGCTGAGCGGTGCCTCGCACAGGCAGATGTGGGGTGCCCAGAAGCGCTGGGTGTCCCCTGGGCGGCCTCGCCTGGGGTCAGCACCTTGGACAGTGCCAGCGCCCCTCCATCCCTGCAGGCGCACCCACACCTCCAGGACTGCCCTGGGGCGGTGCCCACGCCCAGATCTGCAGTGAAGACCTCTCCTATCTGTGTCCCCCCAACACGGGGCAGCTGGCTTCTTGCACTGGGTGCCCACCGAGGGCACCGAGGCAGTCTGAGCCCCTCCTCTGGGTGGGTTCCCCCACTGTGCTCCCACCTCGTCTGGGCAGCCCCCCCACCCCGGGCTCCTGGCCCCTGGTCACGGCCCTGAGTTTGATCACTGCACCACTGACCACCTCTCAGGAGGCCACTGGCAGAGGCTCTGTCACCGTCCATCGTGGGCCCTCTGGGGACCTCCAGGGCCATGTGGTCAGTGCCAGGGGCGGGTCAGGCTCTACACCAGGGTCCCCCAAAACTGGTACCCTGCCCCCTCCCTGCGCGTTGCCTGAGCTGCAGACCCCAGCCTACTCTGGGGAGGGGCCTCAAATAGGCAGGACAACCCCTGCTTCCAGGACCCTGCCCTGAGCCAGCAGCATTCAGCAGAGGTATTGTTTAGAACTTTTAGGCTGAAGTTCTTGCTTTTGTGGAAGGTGCAAAGCGGGGTGGGAGGCCAGAGAGGACCCTCCTGTTCACCCTGGGCTGTCTGGACCCCCACACTGGATGGTGGTGGGACATGTCAGCCGGGGGCTCTCCTGCCCCATTCAGCCCTTGGCAAGGCCCAGAGGGATCCCAGATGCCCACACCCAGGGAGCCGTGGCCCCTGCTCTTGGTCTGAGAGCTGCATGCCCCCCACCCCCACAATTGCAGTCTCCTGCCCGCCTGGCTGAGTACACGGCTGCACACTCCCCAGAGACTCCTGGACAACGGAGCGGTGCCCCACCGCCACCCCAGGGCCAGGCTGACCTGGTGATGGGGGAAGGGGCGAGGATGTGCACATGGGAAGGTGAGGCCTCCTTGGGCAGGGGCCTCAGAGCCGGTGGAGCCTGCAGAGTCATGGGGTCCCTGCTGGGCTTGGGGAGCCCATCCAGTTGCTGGGGAGTCGTTGTGTGTGGATGGCCCTGGCTCCCCTTGGCTCTGCCTCTGACTCACTGGGTGGGAGGCTCACTTCCCAGCCTCAGTTCCCTGGTCTGGGAAATGGGGTGGGAGTCTGGCCTTCTAGGCTCAGGAATCTTTTGTGGGGTGAGGCAGGGCTTGTGGTCCTGGGCGGCTGCGGTATACCCTGGAGACTGTGAGCTAGCCTGTCCTGGGCATGCAGGGGGATCGCTCCAAGGACTGGGGGTTGTGCCCAGGGGGCCCTGGGGGCCCCGCCAGATGTTGAGGAGTGGGGAGGGGTCCCCAGGCAGGGCTGCCTGGCTTTCCCCAGAGCCCAGCAGGCATTAGTCACCAAGTGGTCTCACTGAAGCCCAGGTTTTGGGGAACCAGGAGCTGGTCAGTGTTCATGGGGCTTACCTGGAAAACAGTCTCCTCTTTGTTTCTGAGATCACCCAGAGCCCTGGCGCACCCCTGCTCCCCCAAGGCTGGGTGTCCCCGTCACCAGGAGAGGCCGAGGGCCCACTCTGGGTTCTTTACCACTTTGCTTTCTCCCCCTTCTTCCTCTCATTTCAATGGTGTTTTTTTAAAAAAAAGATTTTATTTATTTAATCTGACAGAGAGGCAGTGAGAGGGAACACAAGCAGGGGGAGTGGGAGAGGGCGAAGCAGGCTTCCCACAGAGCAGGGAGCCCGATGCAGGGCTGGATCCCAGGAGCCTGTGATCATGACCTGAGCCTAAGGCAGATGCTTAACCAAGTGAGCCCCCCAGGTATCCCTTCAATTGTGTTTGTAATAAGGAGCGACTATGAAATTCAGTTAACAGTCCCAGTGGTTGAAAGGGAGGGGCAGTGAGGGCCAGGGATGGGATTCTCTGCTCCATCCTGTGCTGGCGTCCATGCCGGGGCCTGGTGCGTGATCTGGGCCTTGCACTTAGAAGAGGACAGCTGGGGATGCCAGGGGGGCCCATTGGGATTATGGCCACCCACTGGGAGGTGGTTTTAGGAAGAGGGGAGTGTGTGGTCCAGCAGGGTCTCCAGGGGTCATCTCCCTGACTGCTCAGGTCCAGAGAGGCTATGGGGTAGGTGCAGGCCAGGACCTGGGGAAGAGGGGGATGCTTCCTAGAGGGGTGGTGTTTGGGGGGCCCTAGGGCCCCTTGCCCCGGCTGCTTCACTGTGTCCCTGGGACAGGCACCCCACTTGTGACCTGAATGGAGAGTGTCCTCAGACCATCTGCTCCCCACTGCCAGAGGTGGCGGACCTTGGAGTCCCCATTACTGTGACTGGGGGGGAACCGGCTGGGTGCTGGGACAAGGCTGGGAGGGCTGACTGGCCCTGGAAGGTCAGCAGGGTGGGCCTGTGGGATACCACTCTGGGTGACCACTGGGGTCTGGTGCAGCCTGCCCTGGGGTGTGTGGATGGTGGGTTCACGGCCCTCTCTTCCCCCCGGCGGTCCCAGCTGGGAGGCTGTGGCATCCTTGGTGTCGGCATCTGGCTGGCTGCCACCCAGGGGAACTTCGCCACCCTGTCCTCCTCCTTCCCGTCCCTGTCGGCCGCCAACCTGCTTATCGTTACCGGCACCTTCATCATGGCCATCGGCTTCGTGGGCTGCATCGGGGCCATCAAGGAGAACAAGTGCCTCTTGCTCACCGTGAGTGCCCCCCGCACGCAGGCTCCGTCTCTGGGCCCCTGCTCCCTACCTGTGCTGACCCCGCAGGACCAGAACAGGTCACAGCCATGGCCTATGGCAGCCCCTGGGGACCCTGCTGGGGCTGGGGTGGGCTGCTCGGTCAGGGTTTAGTGGAAGCCTCCCCGACAGGACGGAGACCACCTCCATGTGCCCACGAGTGCCAGGTGGGGCCCCCTCCAGCCTATATCGGGTCTGTTTGCTCTGAGACCACCCTTCCTGGGAGCCCCTGCCCAGCTCCTGTCCCAGGACCCTCTGCTGAGAGGCTCACAGTCCCCTCCTGTGCGGTGGAGACCGATTCACAGGCAGGCTGTGGTTCCCCGTCTTCAGGAGCATTAAACCGGGGAGGAGAGGGGCCAGGCTCCTCACTGATTAGCATGTCTGGCAAAGGCCTCCTGCAGCTTGATCTCATCAGCCGAGCCCTTGCCCAGGGTGGGGCCTTGGAGGGCCTGTCCCCCAATCTGTGCAGCTGTCCCGGGTGTTTAGCTGGTTCCACAAGCTCTCGTCAGGGCCTGGGGCTCTGATCCCTTGGAGCAGAGGGTGGGGGTGTGGCTTAGTCCCCAGCTGCCCTGGGGCAGGAAGCTGTGGTGTGCCTGGGGGGCCCAACCCCAGCCTTCCCTGCAGGGTGACCTGAAGTCCAGAGTGCGGGGCCTGCTGGGGGCACTGTGGGCCCTGAGTCCTGGGCCTGCACTGAGGGAAGGCCAGATCGGGGATCCCGGGGGAGGACAGGGCTTGCTTCCCCCAGCCTGTCCCCTTCCTGTCTGCAGGAAAGGCAGGGTGGACGCAGGCTGTCTCTGCTGGCCTGTGGCTCTGGGGTGCTCACCAGGCGGTGGTGGGGGGGGGTGACTGCCACCCAGCAGGCAAGGTTTGTACGGTCAGGTGGGGCTTTGCAGGCTCCTGGTGGCTGTCCCCTCACCTTGGTCTTTCCTGAGGGGGTGTTGACCACCCCTGGCTGCTCTGACGGCTGTAACCGGCATGGTTCAGGGTCTTTGTGGTCCGACCTTCTCCCTGCCCACCACAGGGACACAGGCACAAAGCACACATGTGTGCTGGCAGGGGTGAGGCTTGTGCTTCCGAGGTTGGTTGAGCAAGAGAAGAGCCCTCGCTCCAGAGAGGGCAGGAGCCCAAGGGAGGTGGGGCAGCAGGAGGGGGGTCTGCTGGTCTCCGGGGAATGGACACCTGTCGGGGAGGTTCCTGTAGCACTGGGGTGTCGGTCTGCATTTGCGGCCCCACCCTTGGGAGGCTGCACGGGCCAGGTGGCCAAGTCACCAAGGCCAGGTCCCCTGTGCAGTTCTTCGTGATGCTGCTGCTGGTGTTCCTGCTGGAGGCCACCATCACCATCTTGTTCTTCGCCTACACTGACAAGGTTCGCCCACCCTTGCCCTCCCCAGCTTCGGGGGTGGGGGCTCTGAGCTCACCAGCCAGCTAGGGCCACAGCACTGTGGGTGACAAAGGTGCGGGCAGGGCTGGGAATGGCAGTCACAAGCCCCACACTTGGTGTGGGTGGACAAAAGCCCTGCCATCCACGCACTGGGGGACGTGGCTTTAACCGCAGCCACCAGAGGCTGGGCCTGGAGGGGGACGCCAGTGGCCTGGAGGCTTGGGGAGGTTTCTGGCCCTCCAGGAAGTGGGGGACAGGGGAGCAGTGCTGTGGTCTGGCTGTGCTGAGCTCCTGCTGTCCTGGACTGCATGTCTGCCAGGCAGGGAGAATCCCCCGTCCCCAGGTCCTTAACCACCTATTTACTTACTGCTGGCTCGTGGCCGTGTGCTTCCTGTCCGGTCGTGCCCTGCACCTGCTCCTTCCTCTGCTCACGCTCTTCCTCTGCCCACGGGTGCTCTCGCTTGGCTCCTGGGTCCCTCTGGCGTCCTCCCGTCGGTGCACTTTCTGGCGCTGGACGACCCCCCAGACCTGGCTTGGCCTCCCCTTTCCCAGGCCTGGAATCAGCCTCTCCTCCGGGAGCCCTGGTCCCCTCGCTGGAGGACGGTCTGGGGAACCGAGTTGCGGGGGCCGGTGTGCTCGCTGCCACTGGGGCGTCGTAGCTTCTGGGCCCCTTGGTGGACGGACGGAGCCGCGTGTGCTCACAACCTGCGTGTACAGACTGGTCGGTGTTTCTGTACGTGTCCGTCTGTCTGTACCTGCAGATGAGGCGGCAGACTCTGGTGCCAACCGGTGTTCAGCACCACAGAGGGCCCAGGGGTGGGGATGGGCATAGGGATGGGGGCTTCTGGGAGGAGGGGACTCCAAGGAGGGAGACAGTGGGCACAGGGTGCCTGTGGGGTCTGGATGAGGGAGGTGGAGCTGGCTGTGTGGGGGGGTGTCCTGCTGACCCCACTGCACCTGCAGATCGACAGGTACGCCCAGCAGGACCTAAAGAAGGGTCTGCACCTGTATGGGACCCCAGGCAACGTGGGCCTCACCAATGCCTGGAGCATCATCCAGACCGACGTGAGTGTGTGTGTGTGTGTGTGTGTGTGTGTGTGTGTGTGTAGGCAGAGGGGATGAGGGTGTGTCGTGTAGGGGACACAGCCCACCCACCCACCCCCCAACCATCCCAGCCCCTGCACCTGTCCACAGTTTCGCTGCTGTGGGGTCTCCAACTACACCGACTGGTTCGAGGTCTACAACGCCACCCGCGTGCCTGACTCCTGCTGCCTGGAGTTCAGTGAGAGCTGTGGCCTTCACGCACCTGGCACCTGGTGGAAGGCGGTGAGCCCCTCCCCTCCCCAGGCATCCTGGCCCCAGGGGAACTGGGGGTGGGAAGGAGGGCCAGCCTCGCAGCCCCTGTGACGCACACCCTTCCTCTAGCCATGTTACGAGACCGTGAAGATGTGGCTCCAGGAGAACCTTCTGGCTGTGGGGATCTTTGGGCTGTGCACGGCACTGGTACAGGTATGCTGGCCGGGTCCTGCCTCAGGAGCCACCTGGACTCACCTGTCTCTGACCTCACAGCTTAGCTCACCAGCCGGCGGGTGGAGGTGCCTTGAGCCCCCATGGCTGAGCAGAGGTGGGGTTCGAGGTATGGTGGGAGGCCACTCCACAGGCCACTCCACTCCACGCCTTTGACGTATCAGGGCCTGGTAGGCCAGCCTGTTCCTGTGGCCTAAGCCTGGCAGCTGTGGTGGGTGAGTCACGGGACGGCCCAGCCAGTGCCGAGCAAGGGTGGGCAGCCCAGGGCCTGGTGCCCAAGCCGGGCTTCCTGGCCCCTGTGGAAGCCCAGAGTGTCGGACCCTGCAGGAGCTGGAGGCCAGTGTGTCAGCAAACCCAGACATCGGGCAGCCCTGTTCCTGGGGTGCAGTGATAGGCAGGTCCCAGCCAGCTCACACACTGTCAGAGGTGATCCCACGTGGAGGATGTGCAGGGGAGAGAGGGAGGGGGCACGGAGCCAACGGGCCCTGAAGCCACCAGCAGAACCACAGCAGCCACACTGAAAGGCAGGTCTGGGGGCTGAGCCCTAGGAGTCCCCAGCGTGACCCCTATGCTAAGGCTCGGGGATGTGGCTGGGAGGGACCCCAACTGCCGGGGTTGGGGGAGGCATCCCTGGGGAAGTGGGGTACGGGCCATCCAGGGAGGAAGCTGTGGGGTGGGGTCTGTGGCAGGACCCCTCTGTGCCTGCGTCTCCGGGAGCAGTCCTGCCCAGCCCCCCTTGTGTCTCCACAGATCCTGGGTCTGACCTTCGCTATGACCATGTACTGTCAGGTGGTGAAGGCGGACACCTACTGTGCGTAGGGTGCCCGCTGCCTGCCACCCCTGCCTCGCTGCCAAAGGACACGGCCCACTGGGAGATGCCCGTGTCCCCACCTTCCTCTCCTGCTGCAGGAGTCAGCACCAACCCTGCCCCCAGCCCCCCCAAGACCCTCAGCCAGCTGGGCGAGCACCGTGCTGGAGGCGGGAGGGGCTTCTGGCACATTTCACGTCCGTGTATTCTCCCGAGCAGTGTCTGCCCCCCTGGCTGGGGTCATTCACGAGTGGGGATGGGGGTGAAGGGCTGACCGCTGGTCCTGGTGCTCCAGGTGGGGCTGCCGCCCCACCACCCACATTCCACAGCGGAGCCTGGGCAGGCTCTGGGTGCATCTTAATAAAGTGTGTGGACAGCCCCCCACCACCGCATCTGTTGCTGCCTGACCCCCAGGGATGTGCCCAGTGCCTGGGGTGGGATTCCTGCACTTGCGTGGGGCCAGCCCCCAACCGCACCCCCCCCCCGGGGTAATCTGTTGGTGGTGCAGAGGGGTCTCAGGACCGCCCTGTGCCTCCCTCCCCATCAAGCCCCAGGGCCTCGCCTGCCCCACGGCCCTCTCTGTTTCTGTGAACTTGGCCCCGGAACTGCTCATCTGTACGGGCTGTCGGGAGGGGAGCGGAAGCGGCAGGCGCATCAACGCAGGGGGGCCCTGGAGACAGGAGCAATGGGCGTGGGGAAGGCCGTGGGTCTGGAGCTTAGGGGAAGGATGGGACCCTCCCAGGAGCCTCACTAGCTGTGCGGCACACGACCCCTCAAACCTCCATCTCCAGCCCTCCTTCCTGCCGGCTCCAAGGTGCTGCCCTCCCCCCGTCCCCCCAGGAACACCCCGTATCACTGTCCTTGTGTGGCAGGCCCACCTGGGAATGCCCAACCAAGCACTGACCGCAGCCACAGACACGACTGACAGCCACTGTGCTCACAAGCCCACCGACCCCACCTGTCCTCACTCCACGGAAACTACCAGAACCAAAGTGTAGTGACGTCAGGGCATGTGGTTAATGCCCCCAAACTAAACCATTTCTCACCTGCCAGCCGCAAACGACTGGAAAACCAGCAGGAACGTCGCATATCCAGGAAAGCAGTCCCCACGTGACCCTACCCCCCCAGTGTCCATAGAGCCCTCCTGCTGGGAACCAGGCCCCCCCACTGGCATGTGTGACCAGAGACAGACCTGCCCCACGCTCGGGTGCTCCTGAGTACGCCATGTGCAAGCTCACTGGACCCATGGGAACGGCTTGCAGACCTGGGACCCTTTCCGCTCACAGCCTCCTATGTGACCCTCAGACTCCAGCCCTGACTCAATTTCCCCCATGATCCTCCAGTGGCCTTGGAGCCCAGGGTCCCTGCCCTCCAGCCCAGACCCCCACCTGCTGGCTCTGCTTCCAATGCTCACGGTTTTGTGTGGGTTGCCCCTGGGGTCTGACCTCAGGACCCCTCTCTCACAGCTCTCACCCCCTTTACTGGTCCCACCTTCCCCCACACACCCAGTGTCTATCACCTACCCGGCTCCCCCTCTAACCCCCAGCTCCAGAACAGACTTGAGACATACTAGAGCCTGGCACCCCAGCCCCGGCGCCACGGCCTCCTGGCTCCCCTCTTGCCCAGGCCTCTGAAGCCGGGACAAGGGGATGCTCCATCCTCTGCTCCTGCCCATTGCCAGGGGCACTGGTGTGGGGACTCGGGGAACCTCTTGCTGTGGCCCCACATGCCGACCCTCCAGCAGACGGGCATAGATGTGGACACACGTGCACACGCACGCACCCACAGCAGGTGCGCACACAGACTTCCCAGGACAGCTTCGCGTCCCCCCCACACGCTCTCCCCGTCCCTCTATGCAGGCCCAGACTCTGCATCCGCCCTCGCAGGCTGCCCTGCCCCCGCCCCCTCAGAACTGTGGGGTTCCTCTGTGGGGCCACTCCAACAGGGCACTGGCTGGCCCTGCCCCTCAGAGCCCTTCCCGCTTCATGTCCCACAGCAGGAGAGCAGGGAGCACGGCCTCTGCCCCCAGACTCGGAGCATGGAAGCCCCAAGTTCCCATGCAGCGCCTGCCCATCTGTCGGGTCTGGCCCGGCAGGACTCTGGCCCTGTGGACAGCACCAGGCCCTGGACGGGCCTGCTTACCGAGGGCTGTGCTGCTTGGAGCCCATGGGCCACGGAGCCCAGTGGCTGGGGAGCAGGGGCCAGCAGCAGCCCTTCCAGCTGAGGGGCTGGGGGAGGCAGGGGCCACTGTCTTTGGCTACAGGCAGTCCCGGAGTCTCTCCTGCTGTGTCATTCCGGGAGCCTGGCTACGCCCGGGGGCAGAACCCGACAACCGCCCGGCCCACTGGCACCCAGGGGCCCACAGGGGTCCTTCTGTGGGACAGGAACAGCTGCTCTGCGCAGGGCTTTGTCCAGCAGCCCTCACACCCTCGCCGGGCTCACCGGACCAGTGTGGGCAGTGAGAGGCCGAACCCCTCAGCACAGCCCGGGGGGCCACAGCAGAGAGAGCCGGCCCGGCCCAGTGAGGGCTGCGTGGGAGGGGCCGCGTCCTCTGGGCAACACCGCCAGGACGGCCCCTCCCCACATTGCTGGCGAAGAGGCCTGGCTCCCAGGACCCCTCGGCCACCGCTCGAGGACTGCAGCGGACACCAAACGGAAAACCGAGAAGAGTCTGTATTTCGCGTGTGAACCGGTCACTGCGTCGCTGGGGAAGCGTCCGCGCACGGCCAGGCCTAGAGCAGGTCGTAGAAGTAGTCCAGACCCTGGCCCAGCTCCCACATGGACACGCCGACGCCCAGCTCCCGGGCCAGCTCCAGCCGCACCTGCACAGACTGCCACCAAAGGGAGCGTCAGCCAGGCCTCCCCACCAACAACCCCCCCACCCCCCGCCCCGCTGAGGGCAAGGGTCATTGTGGGAGGGGCTACACCTGCTGCCCCACCCCCAGCATCAAGGCTGGCCCACGAGTACCTTCAGAGTTGGATAGAAGACCAGGTGCCTCCCACCGCGGCTTCTGCAAAAGACGACGGGCCTTCTACCTCGACGGGCCTTCTACCTCCGGCCGGCCTCTGCTCCTCCCGCCACCCCCATCCCAAGTGGAAGGGAGAGCCGGCCCCGCCTCCCCTTCCGGCAGAGGTCTCTGCCTCCCGCAGGGAAGGGCCCTCCACGGGTCCCACTGCTCGGGCCACGCAGCCCTCGGTGGGAGGCGGTGCTCGGGCTGCTGGCCCTGGAGCCCCTGGCCGGCCTGGGCAGGCACACCCCTCACCTAGGGCCTCCTGCCGGACACTCACTTCTTGTACTCGAAGAAATGCTCTGCTGCCTGGCTGTCCCACACGATCCGGGGCCTGTGGTCCTTCAGCATCTGGATGTACCTGGGGGAGGCCGCGGCACGGGTGTGGGCGTCCTGGAGACTGCCCAGACACCTGAAGGGGCCACGCCAGCTGAGGCTGTCACGGGCAGGCAGCAGGACGCGGAGGCTACGTCCCCTGTCGGTGTAGGCAGTGCCCGCAGCACACCCACTGTGGGAGGGTCACGTGTGCACCCGTGACACGGGAGCACAGAACAGCGCCTGGGACCCTCAGCCCTGGGCCCGCGTGGGCTGGGGGCCGAGTCCTCCCTCGGGGGCAGGGGAGGGACAGAGATGCCGACAGACGGGGGCTGAGATGGGAGCAGCGGGACGGCGGCACCTGTGGCTGCGCGGCTAAGTGTGGGACGGCACCAAGGCGCTAGGCGACCCGACTGGGCCTCTTGCTGTGTCCTCCATCTGCCCCATGAGTGTCCGTGTGGACAGAGTGAGGGCCTGTGTGTCTGGGGGCAGAGCCGGCGCTCGTGGGACTGCGGAGTGTCACAGGAGAGGCAAATCCACAGAACGCGGCTGTGGTCACCAGTCATCCGGGGGCTGCTGCTAAGAGGGCTCAGGGCTCCTTTTTGGGTGAGGAAACTATGGAACCGGAGGTGCCAGCTGCACAAACGAAGGCCGGCTTGGCCACGCTGAGTTTGTGGGTGTGAGGGACGCCTCCCCGACGTGACAAGGCCTCAGGTCGGAAAATACCCCGGAGGCCAGACAGAATCAGGGTGTGTGTGTGCAAGACCCGCCACAGCCAGGGAGGGAGGGCCCTGCGGAGGGTGGGAGGGGTGCAGGGGCCCCTCCACTCCAAAGGAAACTAGCCTGTGGCTTCTCACCTTCTGGGGCAGGGCCTGAGGTCTCCCTGCATGCCACGCTGGGACCCCTGCCCCCACGAGACCAGAGGCACGCGACAGGCTGGGCCGAGCCTAAGCCGTCCATGCTGGACCGCTGCCGTGCTGCCCTGCGGACCTGCCCGCACCCCGACCTCAGGAGGGGTCCCCGCTAGCACAGATTCCTGACCTCCCACTGGCCAGGGGTCCCGGGGCCTGACAAGCACAAAGGGTGGGACCCACATGCCCAGTGGCCTCTCCTTGTTGCCAGTCCTGCTGCAGCCAGAGCCACCGCACCCCAGCCTCTGCCAACCCAGGCCCCCTCGGAGCGGTCCTGACCCAGCCTCCCCAAAGGCCGTACAACAGTCTTCTCAGGCTGGAGGTGGGGAGAGCATGGTCTCCCTGATGCAGGCCCACGCTAGAAGTTCAGTGGGTTCTGGGCCAGTCACGTCTCGGGGGCAGGAGGACCCTGGCCTGCAGGGCCCCCTGACAGGCAGCGGGGCTCCCCCAGGGCTGCCCCTCATGGGCAGGGCACAGCAGAAGGCACCCGGGGAGCCAGGCCGTGACGAATGGGCACCCTTCAAGCAAGGTGCATGAGGAGGCCCAGGACCAAGACAAGAGCAGGCTGCTGGGAGGCAGGACCCAGCAAAGGGAAGGAGGACAAAGACCAAAGCAAGGCCCAGGGCTGGACAGAAGGCCCAGAGCCACGGGAACTCAGACCCGAGAAGCAGCCCAGGGAGGCCGCCCAGGGGCTACTGGAGTGAAATGGGGGACGGCAACGGGGACACAGCAGCCTGCCTGCAAGGTTCACCCTACAGCTCCCCGCCCGTGGGGCCTTCGCACACACCTGCTGTCCTTGACCAGGAGGAGTGGGATTCCCAGCACCGCTGTCAGGCCACAGGGACTGGCCTTGCCGGGAAGTGTCCATCCCCAAGCCCCTGAGTGCCCGGGACGCTCTGGTGCCCTGGATCTCAAGGAGACTGCCACGTATAACCTGCCTGTTAGGGACCCATCTGGCTGTGGTCCAGCTGGGGCTGCCTTTCCCTGGGGTCCTGGGGGGATCCCTGGGCAGGGGCAGGAGAGGCCCCACCGGGTGGGGGCTGCAGGCCCCAGAGGTTCAGAACAGGTGTCCACCTGCACTGGTGCTGGGGATCTTGCGGGGCTGGCTAGGCCCTAGGGAACATCTCGGCCTGCCAGCGAAGCAGGACA